GAGACGTCTATTGCAAGTTAAAATTGGTTTCACCAAGGTGTTATACAGCTTTAATCTTCTGTTATCAGATATTCTGTCTCAATTTATAGCATGAAAAGTTTAGAGTAGTAACCGTGTTATAAGATAAAAATTGCTTAATCTTTGAACATATTGACAAGTCAGGACATACCCTGCTGAGGAAAATATATTTCTTGTTATATTTTTTTAAAAAGTAAGTAATATTTTTACAAAATTTAATTAAGTGCTCTTTAAAATTAGTATTTTCTTTGAAACGAATGTCTGCAACAAATATTGTTTTTTTAAGGAATTTTTAAATTTTTTAAATTTCCCTATTGTTGGCGTTCATCGCTTATTGAACTGGGCGAAAATGAGTTTGATTTTCCTTTTTTATATTTTAAAATATCACCACTCTTTATTTAAAGATATAAAATAATTTTTCTTTATTTTACAGATTAACTTTATTATTTTTCAAACAAAATTACAATTTAACTTCAAACAAATATCTTTAAACTGTGCAAAATTCGTTGTTTAGCTTTTATAGAAAGCCTGTGGAGTTACCTATGTTTTATTGAGTCGAATCATCCACTCCCCCTCCGTATTCCATTTTTAAGAACGAAGTTCCACTCAACTTTTTCCCGATAATTACTACTCAGAGTCCCGTGTGGATGCTTCCCAGGATGCAACAATCTTAAGCTTTTCAAGTCAAGGGTCAGTGGTTATCTATCCTCCTTATTGCCATAATATTACCTTCCTCTTACATTTATATCACGCACATCATACAGTAAAGCTCTACCTTGAGTGGCTCTTAGGATTTCTATTAGGTGAATTTTAGAATGAAAAATGAATCAATTGAACTCAATTCTCAGTGATAAAAGAATAATTGCTTCTACTTTGAAAACTACTACTCTCAGGAACAGACTCCCACGGGGATACTTTTCTGAACGATGCAATCTTAATTTCTTCAAGTCAAGGGTCAGTCATTATTTATCCTTATCGTCATAATATCTCCTTCCTTTACACACCTCATTCCCTAACGCTCTACCTTGAGTGGCTCTAGATCTTTTTGCATCAATGAAGAATTTGGTTGCACATATAGTTTGGGTAAATGATCTTTTATTTTACTATTGTTCACAAAATATAAGGTCTAAATGCCTCTCTTAGCGAATTACTGAATGTGGAAGTTGTACAGGCGTATAGGGAGCTTAACGAAGGGAAGCGACAGATACACGTTCTACTTATGAGGCAGCACGGCTTTGAGGTTCCTGGATGAGCTGGCGATGAAGAGGCGCCATACGCTGGAAGTGACAGGCGATTCCAGTTGCCTCTAACAAGACCGGTCATATTGTGGCAGAAACAAAGCCCATTTTGACGGGTAAAAAATGTCGAAAGGTACTGGTGACGCTTTGTCTGGCCTGCGATTCGCACGCATTCACCGAACAAATTCCACTGCTTGAGACTTGAATTCAAAAGCAAAGTTTGAAGTGAATAATAGCCATTTCCTTTGCTTTCTAGATAGAAGCAATTAAAAAATAACACTTACTGACCAATGAGAAAAAAGTCAAAATTTTCTCATGCAGTATTATTAGTGTGTTTAATTTTAACATAATGCTTACTAATCTTGTCCTTTTACCTAAATAAGCTTATTAATTAACTATAGAGAAATAAAGATTTTATCCATTTTGACTATATTTTTTTGAAGTATCAATTGAATTCTCAACAATAATATATAAAAAAAAACATCCTTCATCTTACTGCTTTACTGAATTTCAACGCATTTTCGTTTCTTTGCTTTCTTTTGTAAGCTGCTTTGACAGGAAATTTCAATTGAGGAAAACGGAAGTGGATATTAATGAAATATTAAACGTGTGTTGGAAATCAGCTTTACCAATATGTCAGACAGGACCGGAAACAATTTCGAAACTGACGTCATTAAATCAAACGATACTTCATTCTTTATTTATAAACATTGATAAAATACTGGGCGCTTAGCCTAACACAGTGGATTACATGCTTCACTCGCAAATATTTACTGATGCTGTGTGTTCGGTCCTCACCGGGTATATTATTATTTCAATTTTTTGTTGAGAAAAATCGGCCTTTCTGTTCAAGCTTCACTCCGTAAATAAAGAAAACTGATTCTTTCACTTCTAAATAAAATGCAGCGGAACAAAATAGAAAATTACTCATGATAACAGGAGTAACAAATCGGCTTTGGAAATAAGATTAAAAAGACTGATCTCTAGACTATGAACAGATCAAAACCCATTGTAACTGGCTCCTGTTTCCTCGTTTGTGATCTTCAGATCCGGTATTCTCACGTAGATGAGCTGTCAAAATTCCAAATATTTTGTGTGTGTCCTTTTTTTACTCAGACGATTATTAAATAATAGAGAGTAGATTATTATTATTTTTGGAGGAAATGTATCTCAGCTCCGGCATCTACGGGTTGACCTTCGGAGTCATATGTAAGACATAATAAGAAAGTCGATTTTGTCTGGGCTAGCATAGGAATTATAGATAGAGAAAGTTTTTTTCAGTAAATCTTAATCCTCAAGCAATGTAGACTTGTTCTCTTTCATGTCTGAAACGGCTCCCCAGTGATGGATGCTGATAGTAGATAGTAGATGTCGACATTAATAAAATAGTTAAGAGAAAATTCTTCGTTTTGAGTTCTTTTATCTCTGGACCCAAAACATCATGCGATCACCGGCCGAGATAGAAGATTCAACATTATTATCAAATTGGCGCCGTTGACCTCCAAGCATGAGGGGGCTGTATAAGACGATCATTTATTTGTATTAATGTCATCTGTACACATTTTTGCACAATTTCTGGTGTATGAGATTGATCCCATCCTGTCGTGACTACTTTTGTATTCTTTCAAGGTCAGCTTGCAACATTTACTGGTTAAACTTGCTATCACGTAGCTTCGCTTCAAAAACTCAATGTCATTATCAAACAGACGGAGCGGCTGTCAAAGTAAAAAAGCAAACAAAAGAAATGTAAGCGCGACTGTCACTTACAAGGTTAGGCTATATTGTTGTAATTATATCCTAAATAATCCTGAATGAAAAAATCCAATTTTATCGAGGGATAATGCTAAGTCCTGTGCACTCAAACGAACTAGGCCGACAGCTTTTGAAGAGAAGGGACAGGAAAACCTTTGCATTTTAAGACGTTGACCTCTAGAGGTCAATTACAAAGTCTGACGATGTTTCATATATCTAAATCGGTAAGTGAAATGAAGTAAAAGAAGTGTTTACAGACTATGTGTAAAAAAAAATCGTCCGGATATCTTGTCATGAGGACATCTCTTGATGGCGATCTTCTGCGAGGAACAGTAATTTCTCTTACAACAGCCAGTACAGAACAAGTGAGCGACGACAAAGTCTTATGGAAAACGGAAAGATAACAAAAGGACACTTAGATTTGAAGACGGTTGAAATAACGAGGAAAGAGGACTAAGAAAATTTGGTACTCACGGGGCATATTGAAGGAAAAAGGGACAGAAGAGAGCATCACATAACCTACATAATAAACTTGTGTACGTGGTTAGCAGAACAGAGATTATGAGATTTTTTTTGCAATAAGGTTCTCCTTGTACAAGGCCTGGGGTCACTCCAGGTAGAGGTTTACGTTAAGAAGCAGTTGATGCGGATAAAGAGATGCTGATAACGGTTAACTCCATAGTTGAACAGGTTCAGATTGTAGTGATCGAAGAAACATCATCGGTTCCACTGAGTAATAGTTCTCAGGAAGGACACTAAGATTTAGCGTCAAGACGATTGAAGTTTCTTGGACCCATAACGAGGAAAGAGGACTTAGAAAATTTGACACTCACGGGACGTGTTGAAGACAAGAGGAAATCAGGACATAACCCACTTAGCATGTAAATGCTTTGCAGAACAGGGATTAGGCAGTATAGCAAAAAGACAAAATAATATAAGACTTAAAAACTAAGAAACCGGATTTATACATTCTCTCTCTCTCTCTCTCTCTCTCTCTCAAAAAAAAAAAAAAAAGCTGTTCGTCTAATACCCCACCCCGGACCCAAAATTTTAAAATTAAAATATAACGTCTCTACATCTTCATCGTTGTGCTTTAGTTCGACTCTTTATATATGCTGGCCATATAATGACTCAAGCCGATACACATGGCCTGACGATTGCTTTTAAACATGAGAGACTATTGCTGCTTGGTGTTGACCTAAATGTTGCATATTTACATACGCTCTATCCCTGATATCGAGACATTTAATCCATAATTATTGTATAACTAAAAACTGTGTTTCTTTTCTGAGAATACCTTAAGGCTGAAACCAAGTCAGCGGATTCAACTGATTTCCTGATTTAATTATGATATATATTTAGCCAGTTAGATCAGGGCTACAGGAATGTAGGACACCCATGGCTAAGATACAAATACAAGCTGAAAAGCAACTTGTCAGCAGTCAATATACCACATAACACCCTTGAGCGCTTGGCCTTGGAGCGGGTAGAAGGGAGATCAACGCGTTTTAGTGGACTCAGCAGTTTTCAATCTGCTTGTCTGAATCATTTTCAAGAAGCGAGAGCAAGAACTAAAAGGTCAGCCAATCTAACAGTGATCTCATCTCACAATCCTCACTCTTGCTCCATATGTGGCCTCCTTTGTAAATCACTAGCGGGTCTTAAATGCCACTTAAGATTATCGCACAAAATTTCATAACTGAATCAACTAAACTGTCAGATCCTCATACGTCGAAACCGACGGGAGAGTCCATTATATATATATATATATATATATATATATATATATTAAAAATCAGTTGAATCCGCTGACTTGGTTTCATATATATATATATATATATATATATTGTTAAATATAACAGACAATGCATGTCTATTATTTCTGATCATGAGCCGTTTTAATGTTCGTATGTTTGATTTAATTTCGGGTAAAAATAAAGACAAAAATTGTCCAATATTTGGATAGTTTTTAAGTTGGTTCTTCATCTAAACTTTATAGATAGATAGATAGATAGATAGATAGATAGATAGATAGATAGATAGATAGATAGATAGATTACAACAGCAAAATTGTTCAAATCGTGAAACGGCATACAATGATTGTTCTTCCCACAAAATATTTAATATCTAAAAAACACGGAATTAATGGAGTTTCTTTTTTCTAGGTTTTCAGATAAGACGTTTAGCCATCTTGACACCGTTTGCCGTAAGAATCATTGAAAAAAACTTTTGTGTTATTCTCTTAGAGATCATGGTTAAAATCGTATCGTATCAGCCCCACTATGTCTTTCCAGCTGAGCAACAGTAAGAAGAAAAATCATTCTGGCTTACAGTAATGGTACCAAAATTCATATTATGGCTTCTATCATCAAAGTCCATTCAAGAAGCATCAAGAGAATGGTGAATAAGTGTAAAAAAGTGGGAATAGTAGAAAGGAAAACTGGATCAAAAGGTCACAGCAAGAATCATCATCATTTCAACTTAAAGCTAAATACATTCTTATTGTTCAAAGTTCAATACTTTTATAAAAACCTCAGAGAATTACTCAGTAGAGTAAAGTCAGTCGACTAGAATAGAGTAGTAAGTAACAGTAGTAAAAATGAACGAAAAACAACCTATCACCGTCGCTACGGAAAATCGAAAACTGACGATTGTTGCAGTTTTTTGGGTATATATATACTAGTGAGCTAGCCCAAATGACTTGACTCACTTTATAGTCCACCAATAGAAGGTTAACCAATCAGAAGACGTAAAATATTCAATCCGTCGTGTATAAAGGCGGCCATTTTGTTTACTCTCTCCGAATGTCCAGTGCCAACTTGTCAGGCGAAGAGGAACAGAAAAAAGAACTACTGAACTACGCTCTGCTACTTTACCGGGATAACTGCTAACCTGAACAACGCTTCCCCACTGTCTTCGAAATATTCACTGCTAACCTCTGGATTCTATACTCAAAGACGACCGTCATCATGAACAACAACGATCTCAAACGTTACCCTGACCAACGATATTCTCGGAACACGAAAAAAGAAATAAGCACAAAATTTTTAAGAAACGAAAGAGATAGTAGCAGTGAGAACATTTTTAACATAAGCCACATCAATATCTGTAATTCCCATCACGAAAAAAGAAAAATGACAACACATGCCTCAAGTATTATTGTTTGTGTTATGGTTGACCGTTTTAATTTATTTAGTTTTCAATATAAAAAAGTAAAAAGGATTCCTCTTTCAACTACTACTATAAATACATATAACAACTGGGTAACTTATATTATACAACCACAAAACTGTTACACTCAACAAATGATATCACGACGATAATAACTACAACATCAAGCTTAAACTGTTAACCCCATTACAGTTGTATCATCTGCATAAGTATTGATTTTGGGTTGGTTATTTTGTTTTACGGCATATCAACGTCAGTGGGTCATTTAATGCCGACTTATATTTTGGGAAGTGATATCATTGGGAAGGTCGTTGATGAAGATAAGAAACGGAATAGGTTGAAGGGCATAGCCCTGACCGACCCCTCAAATAAATGTGAAATGATCTGAAAGCATGTCCGTTCAGCCCGACCTTCATTTCACGATATGTTGCCAACGATTGGATTAAGCTAAATATTCGGCCAGAAACAGTGTAGCCCCTGAGTTTGGGGAAAAGGCCAGCATGCCAAACATTGTCGAACGCCTTTGAGATATCTAGGGCCACAGCCCAAGATATTTTATGCATCGCCGGTCTTATCTAAAAACTTGTAGATAAATTCAATAATAACCGTTAAGACATCGTTGGTAAACCTGGAGAAACATAAGTTACATTGTTTATTCGTAAGAATGGCATATGAAGTGAGATGCTTAACCAAATTGGCGTTGATTAGAGATTCTAGTGATTCGCCAATGTTATGGTGCTTTCATCATTCGACTTACATTATTTACATTATTCGGACTGTTATCATAATCTTCATTGTCATATTCACAACGTTTCCGTTGTACGCTCCGGCCTTCTTCAGATTATTGACATTTCGAACCGAATCCTTTATTTTATCTACCAGTGTAGATTGTACTAGATCCACGTGCCATGCCTCTTCTGTATGTCTCAGTTATTTACCTTTAACTCAACTCGAAAAGTTTGGTTCACCACTGCTGTGGCCTGGTATTGAACTCACAACTCTTTAGGTCTAGTCACTGGATCTAACCAACGTCTTTATCCACTGAGCCATGTGTCCTTGAAACGTTGTGAATATGGCAGTGAAGATGAGGTTAACAGTTTGAATAATGTAAATAATGTAAGTAATCATAGTACCTTATCTCAGAGATATAGACAGATCATTCGACTTACATGTTTATGTAAATAAAAGATGTCACCTGGATGCTCCGCCGTGGAGCAGTAGTGAGCAATCCGATCAAGACGTTCATTTTTTTTTAAGTGTTTAATCCTTACTGGATGTTCCTTTCTCCTGGTTTTGAGCAAAATTAACATTAGTAGCAAATAATGAACTAATTGAAAATCTAAACACATTTAGACTGCGTTTTACTGAAATGCAATTGAATTCAATTTATTCAATTCTTAATAATAATAATATTAATAATAATAATATATTTCTGCTTCCTGCTTGACTATATTTAAACGCATTTTTCTTTCTTCACTTCTTCAAAAAAAAAAAGCTTTAGCGGAAATTTCGATTGAAAGTAACGGAAGTGGATATTAAAGAAATATTACATTCGTGTAAGAAATTGGCTTTGCCGAGGTATCTGGAATAACGGGAAACAATTTCCAAAATGGCGTCGTTAAATCAACGACTGTTTCATTCTTTATTTGTAAAAACCAATAAATTGTGTTGCTCAACCTAGAACAATGGATCGGAAAATGCTCTCATAGATCATTACCGCTGTTGTGAGTTTCACCCAGACTGGGTGTCTTGTGTATGCACCGAGATTATATAGTACATTTAGTTTTTTAAATACGAAAATATATGCACTTAAGCCAGACTAAGATAGATTACGAACTGACTATAAAACAACATTGATTTGGATGATTGATTTGGTTGATTGATTTAAAGTCTAGAATTATAAGCCATTACTACTTATTATATACCGTACTTGTGAACACTAATAGGTAGGTCCCAATCCTCATAAATACGTTGGACACTATTCTAAGTGGGGGTAATATGCTTACCTACTTCACGCCGCTGGCGTGTATTCTATTTTGTTAATGTTATAAAGATTACCATTTCATTTCCAACTTCCAATTTGATTATTCCTCATTCAGTAACCGTTTCTATGTTACAACACTAGTGTAGTACATTTAATCATCACTGGGCAACCCAAAAAATTGGCCGCGTGCCACACCAAAATATCCTTTGTAAAGAACTGTGTATTACCTCATTGTATTAAACTGGTTAGCACGATAATTTCAGCAGTTGTTAATTTCTCATCCTTCAGATACAATACTTTAAATTAAAAAAAGAAAACTACTTTTGTAAACTCTTTATAATAGCTCGACTAAATTCCACGCTACCAAAAAACTGATCACTACTCATTAATATTACGAAACTTCAATTCGTCATAAGCTGTAAAAAATAGGTACAAGTATTAGAAGCCTGAATCCTAAAAAACAAACATTCCAACATCAATAAGATTTAATTCAACTTACGAACAAAACATTAAATATATTTCAAAACGAAAGAAAGACAAATTTAAAATATAAAGCAGCAACTGACACATGAGAAAGGCATATTTGACAACCACGACATGACACCACTCCGAGGTTTAAAGACTGAATACACGAAAACCACGAAAGAAATATAATGCATGCTTATAAACAGAATTTTATCAAATCACACAAAATTCTTTGATAATGACTTATGAAGGATTTTCATTTGTATTGTAAAATGATAGAAAACTAGAATAGTAATTGGGAATAAAACACTTTGGACTTAAAAAATACTTATAAAACAAAAAAACAGTGCGAACATAAACAGTAAAAAACGAATACAAATATTCAAAGACTTAACCATAAAAAATTAATCAACTCGACACGAATTTTTAATTCTGTCCGATTATTTAAAAAAAAATGACGAGATACAATATCTCTTCTTTTTTTTTGTGAATTTGTAATATTAGAAACTGACAGAAAATAAAAATAGAATATTTTAATCAAATATGTTGCGAATAGAAAAACACACTGTAAATATCTATCATGGAGAAAAGACACACTGTAAATATCTATCCTGGAAAAAAGACACAGTAAATATCTATACTAAGAAAAAGACACACTGTAAATATCTATCCTGGAAAAAGTCACAGTGTAAATATCTATCCTGGAAAAAACACACTGTAAATATCTATCATGGAAAAAAGACACAGTAAATAACTATACTGTAAAAAAGACACACTGCAAATATCTATCCTAGAAAAAGTCACAGTGTAAATATCTATCCTGGAAAAAAGACACACTGTAAATATCTATCCTGGAAAAAGTCACAGTGTAAATATCTATCCTGGAAAAAAAACACACTGTAAATATCTATCATGGAAAAAAGACACAGTAAATATCTATACTGGAAAAAGATACACTGTAAATATCTATCCTGGAAAAAGTCACAGTGTAAATATCTATCCTGGAAAAAAAAACACACTGTAAATATCTATACTGGAAAAAGACAAAGTAAATATCTATACTGGAAAAAACACACATTGTAAATATCTCTCCTTGAACTGAGAATTGATATGAACTAAAAAGGGACTAATTGAAAATAAGATATTTGTATAAAATGTTATCAGGATAGAAAAAAAGACACTCTCCAAGATCTGGTCTTTATGAGAAATTATGCAAGAACACAAAGAGAATAAGTATAAATAAAACATTTTGATGAAATGTGGTGCCGTATAGAAAAGAAAAGTTACACTTCATAATGCCGTACGTATATTTCATTAAAATATTTAATTTTTCACGATATTAAAGAATAGAAATGTGACCGGATGTTCCGCCATTTTGTGTTTCTTCTCCTAATTTCCGTTTCAAGATTTATTTTCGAATTTTTGGTGAAAGGTACTAACTAGATATACACGGTAATACATTTTAAGGTGTTA